ACACACACACACACACACACACTTTTTCTGTTTCACCCTGAGCAAAAGCCTCAAATAGCTCCTGCAGTAGCAAAGGCTGAATCCCGATTATCAGCAAGTTTTGAGAGGACAACATGCCTGAGGGGGAAAAACAAAACATAATGAAAGATAACAGCGACACAAGGCAAATTTAAAAGTGAATATTATTGTAATAGCCACCTCGTCTGTGTTGTGGCCTGCCGCTTCATGCTGCTAATGCTGCCTCCCCTCCACCGTTCAAACACCTATTGATGAACTGTCAGCAGATGGGGTTCATCATCTCCTTCATGGAACACGTCTTTCCATCCATTACACCTGCAGGATTCCTCTCTATGCTGAAGCCCTTTGCTGCATTTGTATTCGCCTTTCGTCCTCCTCGCAGCCCCAAAATCTACCACAGACACAGAGTCAAAGAGAGGAAGTAACGATGAGCTGTTATAGGTGGGTGGGAGTCTATTGACGAGTGGGTCTGACAGTCCATAACAACTACGCCAACCTTGTTTCTCTTTAGATTAATTACTTTGAATTGCTTAAACATATGCCACACTTTCACTGGTTAATGTTGTTTATTTTTGCTATGTTCTCGTGTTGTCAGCCCATCCCTCCGCCTCAGTTTTGTGAAGAAATATCTGCACAACTGTTTAGATTTGGGTGGTCAAAGGTCAAGGCCATGGTGGCCTCACAAAACATGATTTTGGTCTCTTAAACATACCTCAAGTTTGAGTTTTTGGAATTTCTTCAAATTTTGACCAGTTTTGACTCAAAGATTAACCGATTAGATTTTGGTGGTCAAAGGTCACGGTGACCTCATGTGTCTGAAAAAAAATTTATGTAGGCTGAAACTGCTCTGGTTGGCAAAGGCATACAGTTGCAGGGTCATAATTGTAGTTATATTTTGTTGATTTTGTAGTGCAGTTACCATTAATCCATACCCATAAAGCAACTAAAATGATTAAAAAGGCAGAGAGCACCACAGGTTTGTCACAATTCAATTGAGTCTTACAATCTGGAGATAGCTGCTGTATAAACTATTGACTAACTGCAGGGATTAGAACACCAGATACTGTAAGTGGGTTATTAAATCCACTGAAAAACTTTATTTTGTGGCCTTCCCCATAATCGTTTATCTTCATTTACAAGCACAAATGCAATTTAGAAATCCTCCTCTCTCAGGCTTTGACAAGGATTCATTTGTCACTGTGGGTAACGCTGCATATCAAACAAAGAATCTTGTCTTGTGCTATTGAATATGACATCAAATGCCTGACACACAGCACTGTGGATGAATGCTTGATCCCATGAGAAGCTCCATATCTTCAGTCGCTCATCTGAATCCCTCTCTCTGACTGACTCGTAGCTTTGATCGCACACACATACAGTAGGGGTCCTCTTAAGGGGTCTTGATCAGTAGATTATCTTATAACTGCATCAGCGATGACAATGCAATATCCCCTCACCAAACCCACTGTTCTGCTCTCCAACATTAATCTGTCTGAACAAGCTAGGATTAATACTTTCCTAGAAACGCCTACAATGTGAACAAGTGACAGGGCGAAGGGAAACCGGACATGCTCAGACTGATCCATCTAAGATCAAGGCCTCGTATGTACACAACAGATAGTGTTGACAGATGTGCACTTAGCGTGAATCAGTTGTACACTGGACTGATCTACACTCTCTGTTTGAATAAAACACAATATTGTAAAGAGGTTAGGTCATGGCCAAGGTTTTCTTCTCATTAAGGTTTCAGTTTAACATTCATCACAATTTCCCAGAGCCCATGGTGACCTCAGTTTTTCTTTTGTCTAAGCAACGGTCCAAAATATTTAATGTTAGTCAGGGAAAAGCAGCACATTCTTACGTTTCAGGGCCTGGAGCTGTCAAACATTTAGTGTTTAGTCTTGCTGCTTCATGTTTTGACAAGGGACATATTGATTAGTCAACTAATTGTTCCATTCCTCCTGAGGGGGACCTGAACATGTGTAATAAACTTCTTGACAACTCCTTGAATAATAGTTGTTGAGATATTTTTTCCACAGACAGTGACTCTTGTAATGCTGCGAGATGTACAGTCTAGGAAAGTTTCTGGATATACAGAGAGGTAGAATACAGAGAGGTTTTAAATACAATACAGGTCTGTTTTTCATTGGTAACTCTGCTGGTATAGTTTTGGTTAAGCATCTCACAGTAGCAGAATTATTAAATTAAACAAAAAAAATCTTAAATATTCTCTTGCTAACCACTAAGACTATTGCTATTTATTTTTTGCGCAGCAGTAACTCCAGAACTGGTTCGACACATTGCACCTTGACACTGTCACTGCTACCAGATCAAGTGCAACATGTGGCTCAATTAGCTGCAATGACCCTGACATTGTTGTGATGTGACACACAATACTCACCACTCTCCCAAGCAGGATCTCTGCAGCATCAGTAATTCTGCCCTGTAATGAGGTTCTACTTAACTGTAGAGAGGATATGTGTAATAATTAATTCCTGGACTCTCCATTAGAATGATGGAGCACCACACACAGAGAAGGTTACTGACAAATTAAAAAGATGAATGGTCATTCTGATTCAATAGCCAAAGTGGTAATCAATTTATACTGAGTGGATCATCTAGGCTGTGTTGTATAAGAACAGTTATGCTCACTTTGCAAACTAAATCTTAAGAAAATAAGATGATGTGTGCAAATATACACTATAATGTATTCCTTCAATTATTTGCATGTGCAATATGAGGAAATTGTTATTGGACTCTATTTAATATGATAATAATAATAAAATGTAGACCCAAATGAGTTTGAAGTCTCATAGCAGGAAACCTGAATTGCTAGCTTTCCATTGTTGAGCTGTAACAACAGCAATTACTCAGCATCAGAAAATATTTTCTTTCTATTAAAATCCATGAATTTAGTAGCGCCTGCAATTGAGTGTTTGATTTCATTAGCTGGTGCTTCCATTGCTGCATGCAAAGTTCAGGACGTTCATTCAGTGCACTTTACTAGGTTATTAGGTTATTATACGTAGAACTGCCTTAACGTTCTTATTTCAGAATAAGTGACATATCGAATGTTGCTTCTTCCTGGTACCAAGTTCCTCGATATATTCATATAAGATTATAGAGACTGACTTCAGGGAGCTTTCCTCATTTTCTACAAAGAAATGACAGTACATCTTTAGGCCTGTGACGCTATTTTAATTAAGGTCTAGTATCACTATCACAATAAACCTCAAGAGCTGTCGTTGTGAATCACATCATGTCCTCTCATTTACTCTGCTGTGTCTGCTTTCATATTTAATGGCGTGTCAATTACAATGTGCATATCTAATCATTTCAGGATGCAGCATCTATTACCGACTGATCATATACATGCTACAATAATTCTAAGTGATTTGACACTCAGTGACTGTATCTCATGTAGAAGGTAAGCCACAGTGAATGCACAAGGGTGACAACCAAACATAGTGTGTAGCATTAAAAGCCAAAGATTACTAATTCAGGTCAAAGTGACTTATTACCATCTGTCTGCACTGTCTACAGCTACGACTATAGGAGCTTGTTCTTGTTCGATTGGTTACAGATTGATTTTTTAATTAGTGTGTAATTTGCTATGGATTATATATAGCACCATGGTAATTTTAGGTGATAAGTTGGAGGGGTCATTTATCAATTAAGTGGCTATATATTCTATTAAGTAAACTATCCAAATTGATGAAAAGAAAATAGAATATATTAATATAATAATTCATTCTTTTTGACGTCCAAGCTCCCCATGTCAACTCAGAAGATCATATGCCAGTTTTATGATCCTAATTAGTTTTTGCTGCCCCAAAGTGGCCACCAAAATTCACTTATTGTAGGATCAAGTCTTATTACCCCACCTAGAGCTTTTAATCCTGTGTAGTGGGAGCCATGTGCTACTGCAAAGATGATGGTCTGCTATGGTCATTCTGCATAAACACATGTAAGATATGATGCCTTAAATCTCAGAGGACCACTACTGATATGCTGAATGTTAAGTGCAAGCAGAAAATGTAAATAACCCTGTCATCTAAGTCACGTTGAGTTTCATATGCAGGGTAAATATGTTACTCAACATTATTGTATCATCAGTTGTGTGCAGTTATGTCCCTGCAACATTCACCTCTACCAGAGGTTCTCAGTTTGTAGTGAAGCATGAAGGGCTCCGTCAAAACAACAAAAGCAACCTGCAGGTAAATATTACTCAAAGAGAGTTCAGCAAAAAACACTGCACTCAATACTCAGACTTGATATTTCAAAACAGTGTGTTTTAAAGCATCATTAGGTTTTAATCATAGAGCTCATTTCATACACCGAAGTAGATTCATGGTGCTGTATAAGGACATTAAAAGCTGCAGAGACAACATTAAAATAAATCAGTTTAAGATTAGAAAGCAGAGTTTTAAACCATTTTCAAGTACAAAATAGATTAAAAATTGTAGAAAAAGGAAGGTAAAGATATGAGAATATATAAATAAAACAAAAAGGATAATTCTGCATAACATTTTTTTTTTAAGTTACAAGGAGTAAAATAATACAAATAAAATTGATAGAACTGCAAAAGTTATACAATAAAAATTGAATAAAAAACAATGAATTAGTAAAATAGTAAAAAAGTGCAATGGATGGATCATTCCTCAGACCATCAGGCAGTTGTGCTGCAAAATGACTAAAGCTCAAGAGAACCGAATTCTGCCACAAGTCATTAATACGAATTCAGGTTTATAGAGTTTACACAGGTTTATAAATCAGACTTGTGCAGAGAGACGATCAGCAGCAGAGGAAACTCCCAGAGCAATAAGAAAACAGCTGTTAGCATAAACAGAACGTAAACAAGATGTTCACCTACCCTCAGTGAATCACTGAGTCTCCTCCTGTCAGAATCAAAACTCCGGAGAGTCACTGCTGGTCCAGGACGAAAGAAAACACTTATTCCGAAGTTAGCAGCGGAAGAAGTGTCGTCCTCCACCTTCTCTGCTCACATGGCCCAGAGCTAGCTTCATGCTAGCTGCTGGACGGACAAACGAGTGTAAGTACACAAAATGAACTCCTACACATTCATTACAACACAAAGAGAGACATGGCGGAGCTGCTAGCAGGTGTAGCTACATGATAAATGTTATAAAAGCAGCAGAGGAGCGAGCTGCTGTCCTGTAGCTTAGTGAGTTAGCATCGAAAGAGACTGACAGGTGCCAGTTTATTAGGAACACCTAGCTACAAGCTAATGCAGGGTGAATGCAACAGTGCTGCAGTGAAGCATGTAGCTTTATATACTGTTCACTATGTGTAAAGTGCTGATTCAAATGTATGGAGGCTGAAGTTTGTTATGTTGAATTAATTTTTTATTATTATATTTTTTGTAAATATAGCCCAAAGAAAGTTCAGCCCAATCACTGCAGTGTGTTTTTAAAGTTTGACCAACACCAGCTGACCATTCACTAAAATACAATATAGGGTAAAACATTTATCAATATCCAAATCAAAGCAGTTGTTAACATGGTTTTCCGCAGAAGTTGGCGTAAGGTTATTTTTGCACCTTCTCTCTTTTGCTTTTTAGATTTTGTGAATTCGACAAACTGAATTTAGCTGCTGCATGTGTGGCTTGCTGTTTGTTAAGACATTCAACGCAACTCCCAAGGTATCTTCCCAAGTCCATCCCACTGATGTAATTACATTTACATAAAAAACAAATACTGAAAAATATTGAAGTACACCACTTTTCTGCAGCACTGCCAGCGATCAACCAACACCAGAGATTTCTCATTTGAGAAGCTTGAAACACAGAATGCTTGTTAATATCAGCTTGAAACATGACTAATTGTTTTATGTTAATATGTGGTGTCATCATATATTTCATTTGTAAAATCTTAGTCTGCATAGAAACTTAGTGTTTTGCTTTTAGTATGGGTACTGAATTTTAATGTAGTGAAAGGAAATGACATATGATTATGCAATTGCACCAGAGATCATGACATCGTGTGGTGTTATATCATCAGTTTAAAACTGGGGGAAAAGAGCAGCCAGTTGTTGAGGTCTTTGTGGCAGAATGTTTTTTTTTTTTTCTGCGAATTGCTGACAACAATTAATAACCACAGTCCAATGCTGTGGGATTATATTTGATCTGAGGAAATGACATCTGCCTCCTTTCCAAGCATGAATGAGTCGAATCTGGTCTGGCAATCTGTCACATGCCATGGCATCCAATTTTAACACCATATGCCGAAGAAAGATCACATTAATGATACACACGTTTGTGTGTATGTTGAATGGTAACTCTTCCTTAAACGTATACAGTATCTTCCTCTCATTCGTGATGTGATTATGGCAGTTTTATGCTTCTCAAAGTATCAAAAACTGTATTTGAAACATTCAACACCAGTGTGTCTCGTAAAGATAATGACACAGTTACTCACAATTGCCTGCAGACCTTATTTTGGACATTTTGTTCCACTGAAGTATTCTGAACTGCCTCTCTATTTCCATTCAGCAGGGGTCATTATGTTGCAGAGAGATGTTGCATTAGCAGACGTGAATTGGAAATGTGAGCGTTTTGTCCCTGCTTATACATGCATAGTCTGTGGGAACATTGTGTTTTTGCATTTTGTTACACGGTGTGCATGGATGGACTCAAATCCTGGCCGTTTGGTATCAGTTAGTCATCACTAAAGTAAACTGTAATCTGGTCAGTTGGAGGGCAAATGGAGTCAGAGGTTTCCCTGTGATGTAGAGCCCTATCCCTATCCTAGACTCTGCGGACATGTGACACTTAAAGCCTCCTGCGTAACAGTAAATAATCCTGCCATCGTTAAACCCAGCCAGATTAAAGCAAATCCCTTCTGAATTGACTTTTTGTTGTAGTTTCCATAACCATATTAATGATAATATTATGACTCTCCCCTTATTTTCTCCTCTGTGCATCATCAGGACGTTGACAGATTGCAGTGCTGTTGTGGGCAGTGGCTTGCAATCAGGGCAGAGTCATGCACCATATAGGAAAACTAATGCATGAAACGTTACAGCAGCAAAATCAAATGTACAAAATATCTATTTGTAATTTAATGAATTGAGAAGTGAATGACCTCAGCAGCCGGTTTAGTTTAAGCTGCTGAATCCTGAACCGTCTGTTAGACGACTTAAGCTTTTATTTTATTATTTTTTCCCCCCAAATAAAATATGAAAGGGATCTGATGTAATTCTATTATTATAATGATACTGCCGCTATTTCATCTGCTAGTGGTATTACTATTGCCTCTACTATTCCTAATGTCATGAAACCTCTTTCACCATATCTTTATTGGATTTTTTGGGTGAGGATTAGGGAACTGAAGCTGTTTTGGACGTGAACACCCAAATTGGGTCTGCCACAGGAATTGTTCAGGTCAGACGCTTTCACAACAACAGAAAAATTTCCAGGACATAAATGCAAGGGGTAGAGGCTGGTTAGCATGCAGGAAGCAGGACATGACATATAAATTCTGCTGTCAAAAGTATAGTGTTTTTTTGACAGCACATTGTGTCATCGACACTCCTACTTTACCTGCTGTAATGTCATCTGTACTCACTTGGATATTTTACGGATGTTTTAATAAAATGCTGTCAGGAAAAGTTCCTGTAATGTCTGACGGAGTCGGACATTTGCGTTCTCACATACAGCCCCTCAGGATAATTTCAGGAAAATGTCCTGACTTCAACACACAATAACTCCGGCCACTAGGGATCTTTCAATCAAAAGAATAAGTTTGATGACATCATGAAGCGGTGTGGGATTGTGGGAGTTGTTGCAACCTAACAGTATGTATTCCCTTGTCATTGTTACCCAGGAAATAATATCAGAGACACATTAAAAGTGGATATGACCCAATTAAAAGGCAACTAAAATTAGATATCCAATTACCTAAAGTTAGAGATTTCTCTGGGTTTAAATTGTTGGAAACATTTTTTGATAATGTAAGTCCACAAGTCATTTTTAGACTTTTTAATGGAGAATTTTTACATGTTCTATCTTACACTGCATGTCTGTCTCAAGAAAAAGCACTTTTACACTCTGCAGGCTCAGCGGCTGTAATACTGTCAGGTCCATGATATCCCAAAGATGCTGATGAGCAGGATATGCTGAGAATGAAATGTGGGTGGATATTGTAATTTAATATTGTGATACTTTATTGAGCCCCGCAGGAAAATTCTCTTTGTTCCCCTGTCCTCATGGAGGTCAGACTACAGGCTGAGCTACGCAACAACACTGCTGCAGAGAGGAAGATAAATTGTACAAGAGTGCAGGTGCAACATGCTCTGGACATTTACTGCGTCCTTGATGCATGGTCTGCAGAGTTCAGTGTCATACATCGGTAGAACTGTGAGTTATTGTTCATTTGACAGTTTTTCAACAAGGAAAGGGTTTTGCAATCAACATGCATGTAAACAATTCCCAATGTTACATTACTTAGATGGGACATTCCTATCTTTGCAAACCGGTGCTTTTTATATCTGCTCTAGCAAGTCAAACCCACAGACGCATCTTAAATTCTTTCCACTACATAGGTCAGCAGATTATGTTTCTCCTCCGTGACACTCACAAGTCATATTGTGCTGTTTACTCAGCTCCTTGCATGACAGATGTCTGATGAAATCCTGATATAATCTGGCATTAAGATTGAACCAATAGAGACCGATGGAGAATTTTCTTTTTCTTTTTTGTTTTTTGGTTTGTTTGTTTGTGTTTCGCTGTCATCATTGTCTTAAGAGGAGACATTTGTGGCCTCTTTTGCATCCGAGTCCTAGTTTCTGTGTTGACGTAATGCAGATTTGTGTCTGAATTCCTCATGTGGCCTAAACTGAACTCTAATATGATTATTATGTAAGGGCCAACAACAGAAAGAATACTGCCCTAGAGTAAGGATAAGTTTCATTTTTGATACACTGTTCGTCAAATTTCTGGGTCACATAGTGTCACATGTATTTTTTAACGAGACAGTATGAATAAAAAAGTGTATTTCTTTCCAATTAAGATGCTGCAGCATGAATATGTATGATCAAATCTAATAGACCACAATAATACAAAGAAAAGGGAAATTGAGGTGTCATTAATATTATGGAGAATAAGACTGGAGCTTCACGAGGGACCAGAAAGCCTTTAAAGGGCAAAAACATGTCCATGAAAAAAAGCCATCTGCGTGACCTGACAGCCCTCCTCATGTTGCAGGGCTGGCCCTCGCTGCTCTGACAGAAGCTGTGTGATAATCAAATGGTTTCCTGTTTCATCAGGAGGAAGTATTGCATCATAGAACAAATAGACATGTACAGATGTGGCGTAAAAGTAGCCAACCATGTCGCTGATGGTCAGCCTGAAGTAATAGTAGGCACGCTTAGTGGCCATGTGGCTGTTACGCAGGCAGTCGAGCCACAGAATCAAGCTGCACGTTTTATAGCCACAGGTTTGACCTCCGGAGGTGCATTAACTAACACATGCAGCAGTTTGCTCTCATGAATAACCTTATGAGTAGTTCTGTCTCTTCATCCAACTGCAAATGCATCCCAGTCAATATCTCAACAACTATGTGCTGCCATAACATTATTTAGAGAAATTCATGGTCCACAGAGGCTGAATCCAACTGACCTGGAAGATAAGATAAGATCCGTTATCAACCCTACTTTGGGGACATTTGCTGGATTGTAGGAGTAAAGGGGATTTCAAAATAGAAGCCTCAGTAAAAAATAAACACCCAACACATGTACTAAATATACATACTCTAAAAGATACTTCTTTTCTTCAAGTTTCAAATAACTAGAAATATTGAACGAATGAATGCTGGTGGGAGAGGGGTGAAAAGGCATTGTATTTGTTCCCCCTTTACAGTACATTGGTCATATTGATCCAATCAATTTACATACTTACACAAAGAATCTCTGTGTGTGTGTGTGTTTGTGTGTGTGTGTG